GGCAACCACTGGTGCACGGGAAGATGCCCAACCAACTAGGCCGCTCTGGTGGCCAAAATAAGTGTTTTTAAATGTTTGAAAACTTTCCCAAATTTACCACTTAATAAAGCACCGTTCTGTCTTTTTTACCCCCTAAATCTTTATCATTTCCTCTCTGTTCACATATTTCCTTTCAGTTCTCCCTCCATTTTTTCTCCATCGGGAAGTTTTTATTTTTGAATGTACTATTAAAACTAAAAAGACCAGCAGTTTTCTAACAGACCATATTGGTTAATGACAGACCTTTGTGAGATTCCTGTTACTTTTTTTAAAGTAATTATTTGCTCATTTATGAAATGAGACCTGAATTAAAAGTTTTAGAATATGAAATGTCATACTAAATAAATTATTAACCATGTTGAATATAAATGGATGAAATTTTGATATTTTTCTTATGAATAGAATATACTAATCACCAATAGATTTACTACCAAGTTTATTATGGGATAGTAACGTTTTCTCTTTTAACTTTTATTCTATGGTTTGTTTCAGCCTTTTTAAAAAATTGCATTTCTGTATGGGTGTCATTAGGCCCGAGAGCCTCTTCCATTCAAGTCAAGGGGAGTGCTAACCTTCTCTACCTTCATACAACACTTTATCATATTTCTGAATTTAAAATGTATCATATTGCCCGGCCCGTGTGGCTCACTGGTTGAGAATGGACCCATGCACCAAGAGGTCACTGGTTCGATTCCCGGTCAGGGCACATGCCCAGGTTGTGGGCCCGATCCCCAGTGGGGGGCGTGCAGGGAGCAGCCAATCAATGTTCTCTCTCATCGATGTTTCTATCTCTCCCTTCGCTCTCTCTAATATCAATAAAGAAAAAATTTTATTAATAAATAAAATTTTTCCCTCAATTGGCTTTCTCTCCAACAATATTTTAGCACTATGATACAGATTTTAGTAAAAAATGTCATTCAAATTCAGATAATACAGTCTTTTTTTTTAATCCTCACCTGAGGATATTTTTTTTCATTTATCTTCAGATCTAGTAGGAGGGAGGGAGGGAGAGAAACCACAGTGTGAGAGACACATTGACTGGTGGCTCCTGCACGACCCTGACTGGGGCCGGGAACCGAACGGCAACTGAAGCACGTGCCCTCAACCAGAATGGAGCCCATGACTCCTTGTCTGTGGGCCGACGCTCTGTAACTGCTGGGCCAGACCAGCCAGCCAGATAATACAATTTCATCAGTCAACTTTTATTTCTCAAGCTGGGTCATTGCTTTATAAGTTAATCAGAACCTGAATTCTAAAAATGAAAAGAACTAGTTAGCTTAGTTTATTCCTATACCTTCTGAGTGATGCCCTCAACCACACCATTCTCCAGTTCTCTTAGCTCCCTTGTTTACTCTTAGCACACCCTGTCCGTTCAGCACAAGTGTGCTGAGCCTGGTAATGTGCAGGCGGGCACTGTACAGGAGCATGGTTTGATGGGGAGAGACATGTAAATAAGAGTAGATCATGAGGGCTACATTGTTGAGACATGGGACTGTTAGAGAAGGTTTCTCTGAGAAAGTGACATTTGCACCAAATCTTTAAGGATGAGGGGTTTCGATTTGAGGGAATGGGCCAAGCATTACAGGAAAAGGAAACAGCATATGGAAGAAACTAGAAACCTGCAGACACAGAAATGGCAAGTACATATAGAAGGAAGTAGTAGAAGATGAGACCAAAGGTAAAAGGCAGAACTGAATGGATTCCTGTCCAAAGTTAGGAATTTAACCTGTAGGCCAATGGAGAAGTCATTGAAAATTTTAAACAGAGGAATGATGTGATCTCACTGTTCTCTACTTGTGTCTTTCCTGCAGGGATTTTTTTACCTTGTTTTACCCTGTCACTACTACTGCTTTCTCTACTAATGCTTTGTGCCAAGTTAATTCATTTGGTTAGAGTTGAATGGTCTTAGGTTGCATTTGGGAACATTCTAAAACTGCAGAGGTTTGCTTCCCACCTAACCCCCCAAAAAAGAACTCTAATCCCATTTGTCACCTAACAAATTGACAGACTGAATATCTGATCCCACTCTTATTGTAAAGAAGAAAAAGAGAGTGACATTTTCATTTTAAAAATGAAATACTTTATAACCTTTTAATATACTAGTTTAGGAAAATGAAGGTGGACGACACATGAAAGCAACTGAATTTTACACTTAAGACTTAATATTTTGTGTGTGACCCTTTTTAAAGGCTTTTCATGTTCTTTATCTAGATTATCAATGGGCACACTAGACTTGAAGTCGAGCGCTTCTACAGGCCACCGCGGTGCTCTGGTGATGGCTCTTCTCACTCGACCCCCTGCCGAGCATCCAGTGCTGTGACTGCTCAGGGTCTTAGCCAGCCTCACAAGAAACCATTCTTTAGATGCCTCGAATGACACCCTTGTAAAATTCCAAACTGAAAATCATTTGTGCCCGACCTGTCATTTTCCATTTAGGAATCCTGTTTAATTAGAGCGTAGTTATGAAGTGTCCCGTTTTGTTTTGTGGTTTTGGTTTTTTTATCCTCACCCGAGGACATTTTTCCATTTTTTGTTCAGACAGAGTGGGAGAGAGAGAGAGAGAGAAACGTCAATGTGAAAGGGACACGTCAAGCAGCTGCCACCCGCACGACCCAACCAGGGCCGGGAACAAACTGCAGCCGAGGTGCCCTTAGCTGGAACCGAACCCAGGTCTCTCTGGACCGCAGGCCAATGCTTTACCCGCTGAGCCAAACCGGCCAGGGCTTAAGTGTCCCGTTTTTTAAATGTAATTTGAAGTGGCAGGTGGCAGACATGCACAGGACCTCAATGTCTCAAGTCGTTTTGCTTGCTCATGCACACAGGTCCTTTGGCAAAGCCAACTGCAGGTGTGTTACTGCAGGTGTGGGAGACAAGCAGACCTCCTCTCAGAGAAACCCAGGCCTCATCTGAGTCATTGCTGCCATCTGCTGGGGCCTGGCCCCTGGCATGGGAAGGCTGCTCAAGTGGTAGAACTAGGCCTATCCAGGGCCAGGGAAAGAACCCGTGTGCTTCCAGTGCTGATCAGCTGTTGTTTCTAGATGACAGCCCACCCTAAATGAAAGGACTTTCCATACACTGTAGGGCACTATACCAGCGTAAGATGGTGGTAGATCATGTTGGTTAACACAGTCTCCAGCAATGGTCAGGCTCTGGAAAACACTCCAGGGACTCAAATGTCCTAGAGTATTAGAGTTGGGAGAATCCTTAAAGCACGCGTTACGGAACTTTAGTTAAATGGGTCTCTTGGGGGCTTTTGAAAATGCAGATTCCCAGTCCTGGCCCCAGAGATTTTGATTCAGTAGGCCTGTTTATTTAACAAGCTTTCCATGAGGTTCTTTTGTTTGTTTGTTTTTGTGGGGTTTTGTTGTTGTTATTAATCCTCACCCAAGGCTATTTTTTTTTATTGATATTTAGAGAGAGTAGAAGGGAAGGAGGGCAGGGAGAGAGAGACATTGATGTGAAAGAGACACATCAACTGGTTGCCTCCCGCATGCACCCTGACCGGGGCGGGTATCAAACCTGCAACCCAGGTACCTGCCCTTGACCAGGAATCAGACACAGATCCTTCAGTGAGCGGGCCAGTACTCTAACCTCTGAGCCACACAGGCCAGGGCCCCGTGAGGTTCTGAGACAGGTCGTCTAGCACCCGAGAAGGGCACTGCCTTAAACATTATCTCAGTGAGAGCTTATCAGCCATTTTCCTAATTAGTGCCTCATTTCAATAAATAAAAATGTATTACATCTTTCATCAGTGGGATGAGTCACTATAATGTTCTAACTGGTTCTTTGAAGCATACACACACTAATTATGGTTGGATTGGTTTGTTCTATAGCAGAAAAAATAATCACTTTTAAATAATTAACTTTTCTCCAAGAAAGAGGTACAGTACTATAATTTATGCTGGTCAGTTCATAGTGGGATGATGCTCTTTGGCCTTGGGCATTGGCAAGCAGAGGTAGGATTTAGTATTACATTTATCGTAGCCATCATTTCCATGAATATAGTAATCATTTGGTTAATATCTAATGAATTTATGTAGAGTTCTGCTCTACATTATTACTTACCTCTTTCCTTCTGAGGAGCCAAGCAGAGGAAAGCTGCAACCCCATGGTTTTTAGCCTTCTTATTATCACTTCTTTATTTCTTTATTTCTCTTTATTGAATTTATTGGGGGTGACACTGGTTAACAAAATTATACAGGTTTCAGGTGCACAGTTCTACAACACATCATCTGTACACTTATTGTGTGTTCTCCACCCCAGGTCAAGTCTCCGTCCATCCTCATTTATCCCCCTTCACCTCCCTCCCTCTTCTGCTCCTCCCACCCCGACAGTCACCACACCGTTGTATTTCTTATCCCTCACCCTGTCTTGACGAGGTTGGCCAAGGTACAATAGTAAACATAGTGACTTTCCTTATTACACAGGAAAAAAAAAAAATAAGTGTCCTGATAGCAAGTTTGAAAACTCACCTTAGAACTGAGAATGCTGGACACCTGTCATGCGTATGCCTCATAGACTAGTATTGTTCCAAAAGTATTTGTCACTTTTTGTATATGCATCTGAAGTGACAGGTTTAAGACTAACCCTCTCTAACTGAACTGAGTGAGGCCACTCAACTCAGGGGCAGGTGACACTTGGTCTGCAGTGTCATCTTAATAAACACCAGGCACCAGTAATTTTCCAGTGTCCTTTCATCTAGGCTTCTAGTTCTCAGGTTGTTGGCATTTAGGACTTCCAGCCCCTTTAATGCAGATGATGATATATTGACTGTAGTTTTCATATAGTGTATGTGTGGAATCACAAGGCAGTTTATTGAACCTCTTTATAGAGAAATCTTGTGCTTTCAGGATCGAAATTTTTAGTACTCACAAATGTGGTTTGAGGTATCATTTTATGTTAAGTTTTGTTTTCTGCCCTCATAATTTTATTTCTGGGGGGGTTTTTGTTTTGTTTTTCAGGTGTACCTGAAGGAAATCTTAAAAGAAATTGGTATTCAGAATGTAAAAGGGATCCACAAAAACACATGGGAGCTGAAGCCAGAGTATAGACATTATCAAGGAGAAGAAAAGAGTGATTAAGAAGAGTCTAAGCCAACATGCTAACAGAACAACTAAAGGGAGATGTGTTAGGCATACGGCAATGATACTTGAACTTGAGCACCATCTGTTATAGGGGTAAAATGACTGATACTTTAATTTGTCTAGGTAAATTTTTTAAACAATAATTCTTGAAAAGTTACTTACGTGTTTTGTTTTGTTTTAGGGGAAATAACAAATTTATTTATAGACTTAACTTGTATTAAACCAGATTATTTGTGATGGGGTTAGGGTTTGGGGGTTAAAGAGGTTCTGTAATTAAAGCAAACCAAGGAAATAATTATCCATTGAGATAAATATTTTTCTGTATTATCTGATTTTTTAACAGTACACCAGAATGCTGGGGTTGAATACTACTGCACTACGAAAATTTTTATCCTTGTACTCCCATTGTGAAGTCAAATTCTGATTAAGGAAGGCGCTCCCGTTTCCCACCTTACCTCCAGCTGTCTTACCCTGCAGGGCTCTGGTGCAGGAACCAGTCTCATTTCCCCATCGCCTTCCGGTCCCGAAGTATGTGAGGCTCAGTGTCTAGAAGCAGATGGATAATGGTGTGACAAATCTGTATAGAACTGAGAATTCTGGATGCCTGTCATGCTTGGTTGGTAGCATATATTTTCCCTAAAACCTTGTCTTTTTGTGTATGGACTGCCCTAAAACACACCTGTGTCTTCTCCCCCTACCTTTTGCTTTCATGGTAACATGCCTGCCATCCGGAACTCAGTGGCTGCTAGTAGCGTCTCCAGGGCAGAGCTGTATGTCATTTGAAGCTGTCCTTTGGTATGACTACAAACCTGATTTTTTCCGATTATTTTAGTTACCTTATACCTCATCACACCTGACAGTATCTGCTTGGGTCTTTTAAACACTTAGTTCGAGTCTCTTAAACACTTGTTCCCTTTTCAGCAGGATATCTGATGTATGTGGTAGATTGCTGTCATTCCTGATTATTTGGAATGGCTTTTTTATTTAATACTAAAATGTGGCTGTTGGTCGTAGAAGAGACTGTTCCACCTGGGTTTCCACATTCTTTTATTTCAGGATTCTCTTGCTCTGATAAACATGCTTTGACAGCCCAAAGTCAGGAAGTAGGAGTCCAAACCCTCTAAGCCGCTGTGAGATCGAGAGGAAGGCCGACACACACGTCAGATGTCCCATCAAGAGAGGACGGGAGGCCACATTTAATAGCCGAGATTGTTAAACTCAGCCAGTACACACACTTAGGGCCGGTTTTAACAGTCACAATGTAATAACATGATGGTTGCTGGGCATTGGAAAGATTTGAAATTACATGTTGCCACAGTAACTTCTAAAGTGATGTATCTTTAAAAAGAAAACAGGGCCCTGGCCGGTTTGGCTCAGCGGTTAGAGCGTTGGCCTGCGGTCCAGAGAGACCCGGGTTCGGTTCCCGCTAAGGGCACGTACCTCGGTTGCGGTTTGTCCCCCACCAGATGAAGATTAACCTCCCCCCTTTAAAGTCAAGATCCTTGTGCTAAAATGTGAATTCCTAGTATACTTCAAGTACTCAGGTAGGGTGTGTGACTTTAGAGTGGACTTGTACACCTCCATAGGACCCGAGGAGCCCACTGGAGTGGGACAGGGCTGGGGCACTGAGCTGAAGGGGCGTTGCCTTATGTTCCAGCTTCACTTGCTGCGGACGCCCCTTTTGCCTCCACACATTGGCTGTGTTCCCTGTCATTTATGTAAGAGTCCAGGGGATGATAGGCTGCTTCTCTTTTTTATTGAGTTTTCTTTCTGATGTGACCAGAGCAGGTTCCTGAGCCGGGTATCATCTCATAATGTGTAAGGGAAGATATCAGAGATTGCTTCTGAACCTGACCTTTCTGTACATACTCCCATTAGTTCTTCCTACTTCCTTTTCTTTGAGCAGGTGCCACCATCCATAGTACAGTAGTATGATGTGACATCTGACAGACGAGCAGTATAAGCCTTTAAGGGTTTATTATTTTTAAAATTAACCGGCTCAGCGGTTAGAGAGTTGGTTTGTGGACCAGGGAGTCCCGGGTTCGGTTCCTGCTAAGGGCACGTACCTCACTTGCGGTTTGTCCCCGGCCCTGGTCGGGGTCATGCAGGAGATGCCTGGTTGATGTGTCTCCCTCACATTGATGTTTCTCTCTCTCCCTCTCTCCCACACTATCTGAAAAGAAATAGAAAAATATCCTCAGGTGAGGATTAAAAAAAATAAAATCAATAAAAACCTACTTTAAAATAATAATAAAATTAAAATATTAACAGCCTTTTGCCCTGGCCAGTGCGGCTCAGTTAGTTGGTTGCTGGTTTGATTCCTGGTCAGGGCACATGCCTAGGTTGCGGGCTTGATCCCTGGTAGGCCAGTCCATGTTATGTTCCCACATCAATGTTTCTCTAATAAAATCAAACTTTTTTTTAAAATTTAAATTAATATCCCTGGCCAATTTGGCTCAGCAATTGGAGTATCGGCCCTTGGACTCAAGAGTCCCAGGTTCGATTCCCGGTCAGGGCACTTACCTGGGTTGCAAGTTTGATCCCTGGCCCTGGTCGGAGTCATGTGGGAGGCAACCAATAATTGATGTGTCCCTCTCGCACTGATGTTTCTTTCTCTGTCCACCTTTCTCCCTCCCACCCTTCTTTTCTCATCCCTCCTCCCTTCCACTCTATCTGAAAACCAGTGGGAAAATATCCTTGGGTGAGGATGAACCACAACAAAAAATTAACAGCTTTTATCTGATTTTGTTAGAAATTGTTTAAATTAAGAAGGACTTTTTAGATGCTTTAGCTTACAGTTTAAAGTAGATTCTGTAAAGTCACTTAGCCTTAAATTTTAGGGTTTTAAAGAATTATTTCCTTAAAGTATACCATATTTTTAAATGTTGAAATTTGTGTTTATAAGGTCTTAAGAAGATACAAGTTTTTTATTGTTTTGTGGAAATGGAAGTACACCAAAAGTATATGTTGCTGGACTAAAAACTTTGATCTGGGATTATGGAACATGATGGCTGTTTCTTTGGCAAATATTTATTGGCCATGAATATAGTCCAGGCACTGGATACAGAAGCACTAGGCATGAGACGTCTGCAGACCGGTGGGCAATACAGAAGGCAGACTGCTACAGTGCCGTGGGGGATGAAGTCAGCTCGGTGTTGCAGTCATTCACAATACTCCATTTCATTCATTGTTGCCATGTAGACTCTCTATGGATTTCCAATTTTTAAAGCTCTTGAATGCAGTAATATATACTTAATTTTAAAACTTCCTTGAATGTAATTTAATTATTGATCATTTATAAAACCAAAAGGATTTTTACAGTACCCAAGAATCATTATAAATACATACAGTGGCTGTCTATAAAACATTGATCTCATTAATAGAATGCTAAATTAAAGAGTTGACTAAATTAAAGGGTAGTCCCT